TTTACTGGAAGCTAAGAACTGAAAGAGAGACAGAAAGGAAACATGTTTATGAGACAAAGAAATAAAGGCTGACTCTGGTAACTAAGATGGGTCCAGCAAGTTTGGCAAAGAAGGGGTCCCATTTTATGTGTTTCTTCCCACACTTCTGTTTCCCTATGAGATTAGGGCATTTATGCATATTCATTCATTCATTCCACAAGTAACTTATTGAATATCTACTATGTTTTATGCACAGTGAGGAACAAAAAGCACAGCTCCTACCTGCAGAAAGCTTAGTCTCATAGTAGAGTTCAATATTCAGTAAATATTAACTATGCAAATAAATGTATAATCACAAACTATGGTAATTCCTATTACAAAATGGTACAGAATGTTAAGAGAGCCTAACAGGGAACTCTTGTTTAGATTGGAGGGCCATAGTAGTTTCTCTGAGGAGCGTAGGATTTGGAAGCTGAGACTTGAACAATGAGGAGTCAGTCTGGGGAAAGGGGGCTAAAGAAGGAAGAAAGCATCACAGAGAGAAAGAATAGGGTGTTTAAAACCCTGAGGTAGGAAGGTACATGGCCTGTTAAGGAAGAGAAAAAAAGGCCAGTATTGTTCAGAAATAATGGAATGAGATATGAATGGAGAGGTAGACACTAAATGCTGCCGCCAAAAGCTTCATCTTCCACCGCTTTGAAACTTCTTTCCGTAAAGATCTCTAATGGTTTATCTATCCATCACCCCTCACTTTTAGCTTGAAAGGTTCACTTTCAGGCTGCCTCCAGATGACCTAGAACCTTCTTAAACTCCTCTTGGAGTTAAGGAAACAAATTTGTCAAAGGACAAAAGCAAATAATGTTGATGTGTAGTTCCGTACTCTAAAGGAGACAGTAATGAAATAAATCTGTTTTATGAATCTGAGGGGTTTTATTTAAAGGTGCCACTCTGAAGCTGGACGTGGTGGCACTCACCTGCAGTTCCAGCTACTCGAGAGGTTGAGGTGGGAGGATGGCTTGAGCCAAAGAGTTTGAGCCTAGGCAACATAGTGAGACCTCATTTCTAAAAAATGAAATGAAATCAAATCAAATAAATAAAGGTGCCAACCTGTATTTATGTGTCCCCACCACTTTGGTTAGCTGTTTAATTTCCATCACACTATACTGTATTGCAATCTTGGGCTCTATTTAACTTTACCTCTTACAATTCTCATTCCACAGCCTATCATTTACAGTTTTCTTTAGCAAATGTAAATGCTTAATTAAATTATCAGTGTTTTCTTTTGCATGGCTTTATATATTGTGGAATAAACAATCTGAGATACATGTTCTAGTCCTGACTTTTTTGTAAACTGGTGGTGGCCTTACGCAACTTGTTTAAGTTCTCCGAGCCTCAAATGCCTCTTTGTAAAATGAAATGTTTAAATTTTTTATGCATTAACTAGATTATCCTTATCTAGTATTCCTCTTAAATTCTGTAATTCTATACCACTTACAGCCATTTATGAATATTTGTCTTTTGATTAGTCTTCTTTTATGTCCTTATGGATGTGATTGACTCTCTCTCAGGATAATTTTCTTTTTTGGAATAGTATACATAAAATATTAATAGTATATAACAAATGGCAATAGATCACAGTATTGAGATTGGGTTAAAGCACATTCAAAGGGTAAAAATTCCCTGCTGCAGGCCTGAAATTCTCTTAAGCGGCCTTGCAAACTGCGGTATGTATACCTACAGTGGGTAACCAGAAGTGTGCCAAGGAGTAAAGGAAGCCAATATACATTCTCCTTCTTCCTGGGGCAAAAATTTTACTCAAAGATTTGGGGTTGGCTTTATATTAAAACAAATACACACATATTATTAATAGTTAAAAAGTCATATGATCTTTATAAAATATTATATGGAAAGGAAAGCTCTGGACACTACTTTGAGATCAGAGAATTTTCACCTGCTCTTGAGATTGATTGAGAAATATTTGCCTTTGGGTAATATGCACTTTTGGGTAATACCACATCAGCCGTTATGAAGGCTTAGAAGTTGAGTGGGGAGCCAGTTTGAGACAGAGACTCCATAATCTTAAAATCCCAGGTAATCCTGCATAATCTTGCTTAGGGCCTTAGTTAAGAGTGGGTTAATAGTTGATTTAAAGCACCTGGAAGATATTTTTCCCTCTTCCTGACCACCTATCACACTTCTTGTATATACCCCACTTCTGATGTTAGATTTTTCTAAATTTTGGTAAACAGCTTGTCATCCATTGAGGCAAGGTGGTATCATGAAAAAGAAAAAAATACATATGATCAACAGTCAGAAGACCTGTGTTTAAGACATATCTCCCTTGCTTGCTATGTGTTCTTTAGCAATTTATCTAATCTATCTTATCCCGAGTTTGTTCTCCTATTAAATGGGCACAAAATAACATCTGTTTACCTATTGCGCAGGTAATATTGTGTGCAGAGTATATGGATTTGGAATGTAAGAGAGTTTTTATATTATTATTAACTGAGATTTACAGGGAAGGAGGACACATTTTCACTACACCTGTCTATTCTTTTCAATTTCTGTAATAACTTTGTTTAGTTGGTTCTTGATAACACAAATTATTAAATGCAGTATCTGGACAATCCCTAGGAAAAATGTAATTTTCCACTTTCTTCTACTTCCCCTCTTTTGTTGTTCCCACACTTCTATTTTCCCCCGTTACCTCTCCCAGGGTATTTCAATATTAAAAGACACATAAAGAGACTGTGTTAACTTATTTGAACTAAGTGCTAATAGAATTTCAGGCATCACTGAGGAGAGTCTTTTTAACAATGTACTTTTTGTGAGAAAATGAATTGGTGTCATTCTGGAAACTTTTTCGTAGAAATAAACCAAATAGAATTCTGATTTTTAAAATGAGAAATCAAGTTCTGGTATAATGAAACATATGCCTCATAAATGCAAAATTTGATGTTCAAATCAAATAAAATGCATTTAAACATTTCTTCTGGGTTTGGTGTGAGTGCAATTTGTTTCACAGTTGACATTGCTGAGGCAAATACCCGGAGAAGGTGAGGAGGAAATTCAGATTCAGTATTTATTAGTGTGATATACTCTCCTGCTAAGCAGTAACTTTACTAGCCAAGTCCTCTCATATCTTCTTGTGCCTGGAGGGTAGGGTGGATTTTCCTTAGGCTGGAAAGTTCTTGGACCTGTTCCCCATAACTCTCTTCTTCAAAATCCACATGTTGTGTAAGATATTAACACTCTACTATTGTCACTAACAAGGCAAGGATTGTGATGAGAATCTCATCGTAGTATACTCTTATTTTATGAAAAAAATAATGTGTTAAGAAATTAAGTCAGGATAAAAGAGAGGGATTGAATAGTGTAATGTGGAAACATCTTTTTCTTTAAGTGTGTCTGTATATATATACATATATATAGGTGTGTGTAATGTGTGTGTATATATATATATATATATATATATATATAAAGTGTGTGTGTATGTGTATCCCTTAATATATTTCCCTTAAAAATTGAAAATAGGTCAATGGGAGGGGGGGTCCTCATATCACTATGGTAACTGGCCAGTGGAATGACAAAGTATGGTGTTTGTCATCCTGAGGCATGGACTCAGGACTCAAGAGTAAAGAGGGAGCAACATGAGTGCCCTTAGAGTTATCTATTCCAGAATCCTCATATTACAGATAAGCTGCAAAGCTCACAACTGGATTTTAATAAAGAACACGCCAAGAATTGAGCTGAAAGAGCACACACCAAAATGTAGGATACCTTTCAGGCTATGGTCTTGTCTCTTCACCAAACAGCTTCTATGACCAGCCCTTTAAAATGATTCTTGATTTCCGTATTTGTAAAATGAATTTTTAACAATTCATCTGTCTCTCCTTTGCCTTGTGTGAAGGATTTACTTATACGAAGGAAAAAAAAAACAACCCAGAATTCTGCAATTTTGTAACCCTGTTGCTTCTTGATGTCTATGGCTATATGAACAGCATGAAGTGAAAGAAACAAACAAAAGTAATGCTCCTTTTCCTTCTTAAATAGTTATTTAAATGGTATTTTTTTTCTGGTGGAGTAGGGATAAAAGCTTTGAACAGTTCCTCCACCGTAGGGGAGAAACAGGGCTTGAGAAGATTACTTCTAAGCTTCTGGGGGGCTTCAAGGAAGAGCATGAGCCTGAAGCCTCCTCACCGGAATCTCTGCCTCCTGCCTCTATCACGCAGTGGTGAGACCCTACTTGCCTTTCTTGCTTTCTAAGTTTCCCAGGCCACCCAGAGCATGTGACCCCGCCCCGCTACCCAGGAAACCCGCCAGCCTTTGTTTTCATGTTTGGACTCTCCTACCTAGGGTCCCGGGAAGGGGTGCACTCCAGGTAGACCTCATTATCTCCATGGTTTCATTAACCCCTTCCTATTGATCTCCCCTTTCATCCTGACTGCAATGGTACATCCCAGAACCAGGTTAGTTGGGCAGAGGGGCTTCACTATCAGACGCAGCTGCGGGGCAGCGGGTTAAGAACTGGTAAGAGGTGAGGGACCAGGGTCCCGAGGGCCATGGGGGGTACCCTCCTGCCTGAGTCCAGGCTGCTAGCCCTCTTCAGGCAGAAATGGAGCTGAAGTTAAGGGAAAGAGAGGTATTCTGGGACCAATTAAAGGTACTCAGACTCGAGGAAGAGTTTCTTTCCTCGCTTGGTCGGTAGTGTGCAGTGTGCCCTCCTCCCGATGAGACATTGTTCATCTCTGGGCCTTGGTTTCTTCTGCTTGCCCAATGCTAAACTTCTTTGATTTTAGTAAAGGCAGTTCCATTAGTCCCAAGTTCCCTGTCCTCTAAGGCCTGTTCGAGGACCTAGTTGTTCAAGGGATGCTTGAAGCCTTTGTCTCTAACCCCCTCAACTGGGAGCAGCAGGTTGTCACCAGGGCACACGATGGCAGTTAGAGAGCCCTCTTCCCCCTTGTCCCTGGGTAAGAACCAGAGCTTACACAGCTTGCCTCTTCTTTTCTCTACAATTGCAGATAACATCAAGATGCCAAAGACTGAGGAAACTGTGCACCAGAATGATCCTAATGAAACAGAGAGTGGACCCCATAAGCCTAAAACATCAGGGCAGAACCAAGAAAACAAAAGCTTCTGTTTAAATGACCACTCTCCTCGTAGGTCTAGAGTAATGTCATCACTTCCTTGGGTAGTGCTTGATAACAGTTAGGTTAAAGGAATAGGTAGCCTGTGGCTTAACCACCTTTAAGGGACATAGAAGGCTTTTTTTTTTTTTTTTTTTTGAGACAGAGTCTCTCTTTGTTGCTCGGGCTAGAGTGAGTGCCGTGGCGTCAGCCTAGCTCACAGCAACCTCAAACTCCTGGGCTCAAGCGATCCCCCTGCCTCATCCTCCCGAGTAGCTGGGACTACAGGCATGCGCCACCATGCCCGGCTAATTTTTTTTTCTATATATTTTTAGTTGTCTGGCTAATTTCTTTCTATTTTTAGTAGAAACGGGGTCTCGCTCTTGCTCAGGCTGGTCTCGAACTCCTGAGCTCAAGCAATCCTCCCGCCTCGGCCTCCCAGAGCGCTAGGATTACAGGCTTGAGTCACCGCGCCCGGCCCATAGAAGGATCTTGAAACTGCATTTTTCCTTCCTCGTTTTTCTGTTAGTTCTCTTTTGGATTATTCTGTCCCTTGTCTTTTCCCGTCTCTAATCTTTACATACAGGACTTAGGCTTCTGATTGGTAAGTAAAATTAAAATTGTTTTGGCTTTAGAGGAAGAGGCCAACAAAGCATGATTATGTGTGTTTGACGAGACTTGAGAGTGGTTGAGTCAGTTCCAAGCATGGGAAATAGATAACATTATTGTATTTTGATTTTGTAGAGTGTAAATGGTAGATCTAGGACAGATCAGAAATAATCCAAGTTATCTGGTGCTGGAATTGTGTTCTGTCCTTTTCCAAGGGTGCTTTGTTGAAATAAAAATTATCACTGCTCTGGAGTAAAATTATTTACATCTGTAGTAACAGCATTTTTATATCAACAGTGGGACATGAGGCCTTTTTCACACCTTATGTTGGGCATATGAGGTTTTGGGTTGACTAGTCCAACCTCACAGGAACTCAAATTGCAGATCTCTTATAATAATCTTCAATGAATTTAGCCAAACATTAATCTGCAGACCTGTCCAAACGTAGCAAATTGATCTAAATTCTTGAAGACTGAAATAAGAAAAAAAGTTGGAGTCCATGATGCTATTAAGTTGAATCACATAGGTTTCTCTTGTGGCCACTTGAGGTCACCGCTAGTAAACAGAATGGCACAATTCTTAGCTCATAGTGCCTCACAAATAAATGTTGTCTTAATGAATTGATTAGATGGTGTATTTTAACTATGTACTCTTTTAGTTCGGGTAGAAAGGAAATGTCAATTGATAGACTTTTGTTGAAAGACTTTTTAAAATGAAAAATAAATGCACATAGTAGATCATCTTCTTGGAGTGAGTTTTAGGATTCTTATGTGTAAATTTTATTTCTTGGGGACAAATAGTTCTCTCTGAACAAATTATGAAACTACATTGAAAGTGAGTTAGAAAATAAATTTCAGGTTTTATTTTATATACCAAGAAATAATTGTAATTACTATTTATGGTTACTCTGTATCACTGCTATAAATAGTCTGTATAATGAACTTAGAATATTGATTTCCAAATTCCAATGCTAGTCTGTGACCTAGTTCTTACCAATATTGAATGAAATAAAACAATAAAGATATTGTAATGAGTTTCTAAAATAAAGTTAGTTTCCATTTAAAGGACTACTCCTAATGCTGACTATATTTTCTTTATGCTTTGGGGAATGTTAAAATATGCTTCCTCTTATGAAATGATTGTTTTGATCATGATAGGGTGGATTTTTTTGTTTGTTTGCCTCCCTGTCCATGTGTGGAAAAATAAAAATTGGTAAATCATTGTTAATCACTCATTTTTTTTGAGATTTTATTGGTTTGTTGAATCCCCAGGTCTGGGAACTACTGCTGTAGAAGCATGGTTCAGCTATAAAGCCATCTAGGAAGATTTATGGTGTTATCTATGAGGAGACTTTATTTCTCATCTTGCATGTAGCCTCTGAGGTGGGAAAAGGATAGTGGGAACACGATAACTTGGAGATAAATGTTTACTTTATAAACCACAATTTACTCATAGTTTGCTGAGTTTTATTTCTTGTTTTGACATTTCAAGCAGAAGGTTTTGAAATCAGTTGCACTTTTCTGTTCTTCAAGAATTAACTTCTTCCCATGCTTGACTTCTCTGAGAGTTTCAGTGTTGTTGAAGGGCAAAGAGTTCAGAAAACCTCAAATATTAAAACGGTTGAGTGAGTCTGTGTAAAATCCATTTGATATATCTAAATTTGGGGTCTTACTTGGTTGAATGAATCTCTGAATAAAATAGAAATATTAATACTATTTGTGTGGGTTCTCCGTTGATGACTGCTATGCCTTTTTCCAGAAAGCAGACCTGAAGTCCTTTCTGTCACAGATCTGATAGAAACAGCTAACGAAGTTTCCAAGCTGAGCATTGCTCATGAAATCGTGGTAAACCAGGATTTCTGTATGGAAGAGAGTATTTTACCTCCAAACAGGTACAGACTCTTTCATTTTTCCTGTTTTACTCTTCCTGGTATAGGTACAAAGCACAAATGGGTTTTGGTTAGGTTTGAAGCATTTTATTAAGAAATTTAATGTTTGAATATGTCTTAAATGTTACCAACAAATAAAACAAGAGAGTAATCAGTGTAATTATTAGTTTAAAAAGGTCAAAGCTGCAAATTACATTTAAACAGGGACTAAACCAATGAAATTGCAGGTTGAGCATTCCAAATCTGAAAGTGTGAAATCCAAAGTGCTCCAAAATCCAAAACTTTTTGAGCACTGACATGATTCTTAAAGGAAATGCTCATTGGAGTATACTGCAAGTATACTGCAAATATTCCAAAATCTGAAAAAATCGGCAATTCAAAACACTCCTGACCCCAAGCATCTCAGATCAGGGATGCTCAGCCTGTATTGTCAAAATGTTCATTTTGAGATCTCAGTTAGTAATGAAACATAGAGTGAATTTCAGATCTTTATAGACAGACTTGGATGAAGTAGCTCCTAGCTGTTACTCTTTTAATTGTCTACAGATTAAACAGGTACAGATGAACAGTTTACTTTTCTAATAGTGGTATTGCCTACTCTTCATGGGATAAGAGATTTCAGGGAACATTTCTCCTTCATAATCCGCTTAATAAAGATTCTGTGAATCAGGATTAGAACCCAATGATAAATAATGCCCTTCTAAAATGAGACTTTATTTGGGTTTCTCTCAATTATATTGATACTGTAATACATTAATAAGTCATTCAGCAAGTACAAATTGACTGCTTCTAATGATGTATTAATAGTTAAATGGGTACATTTCTTTGTCAGAATCTATATTTTATAGCATTTCTAATTTCCCACCTTAAATGCTTCTGTTGTTTTGCCACTTTAGGGATTCTATTACTAAAGCACCTTGCTCCATCAGTGGTTCTCTTGATCTTCATGCTCCTTAGATTTGCTCTTGCCTGTTGCCAACAGCTACCATGCCAATGACAGCTTCCCTGAAGGAAGTTTTTGCCTAAACACAGATCTCCTAGCATCTTCTTCATAATCCCTGGAGCCCAAGTTAGATTTATTTTTCTGCTTGTAGGCATGCAAAGAAAAGTAAAACTAGGAGAGTAAAGGTTTGCTAAAGTGGTTTGGGGTCACAGTGGTGGTGGGAGTGGGTAAATGAAGCAGTGGAAATAATATTATTTAGAGCTTATATTTCACTGTTTTGTTATTAACAGCCTTCTTTGAGTGTATCCATTATTTGTAGATAATTGACAATTGGTTTTACCTTTGGGCTTATAAAATGATGATGATTACAGTTATAGGTTCTTAGGGGAATCTCATTGTCAGACCTTCATTCAAACATTTGTTGAGTACTTATTAGGTGGAAGGCAGAATGATGAATGCTGGGGGCATATAGATGAGTAAGGTGCTGCCTTTGCCATCATAAAGCTTCTGTAGGGGAGATAGTCAAATAGCTACGGTGCAGAGTGATAAGTTCTCTCATATCTGGTGTATGGAGTTCTATGTTAGTGTTCAGCTGCCTGGGGATGGTCAGAGAAGGCTTTCATGATAAGGTAACACTTGAATTGAGTCTTTTCAGGTACTTTTATGGTGGTTTTTTGAGGAAAAGGACTCTTCTGGAAGAGGAAATGTCATTTCAGAGGCATAGAGTGGTGGAAGGCAATCATATATTCATTATAAGTAGATTGTTATTGTTGGAGCACAGGATGTTAGGAGGAGGAGGACGAGGTAAGTAAGGTAGAGAGGTAGCAGAATAGAATCATGAAGGGTCTTAGAGGCCATGTATCCTTCTGCTGATTGGGAGCTCCCACAGAGTTTTAAATGAGCATGCCATCATGATCAGATTTGTATCTTAGAAAACTCATTGATTTTATCAAGAATATGTGGCATTGTTGGGGTAAGACTTTGTGGGGGCAGGGTGGCCATTTAATAAACTATTGCAATAGTCTAGGCAGGAGATGATGGTAGGTAAGGATGGATTCCTGAGATATTTAGGAAGCAGAATCTCTGGAATTTAGTAATCAAGTGTATAAAAGAGATGATGGTAAAGGAATTTAAAGGACTCCAGTACACACCAGATAGATAATAGTTGATGATCTCTCACAAGTTATATTGGTGTGTTGGGGGAGGAACTTTTTATTTCATTTATTTTTGTATCATTTGTATTTTTTAAACAAAAAGCATGCATTGATATTGTATTTTAAGGGGTAAAAGGCTTAAATTTTTGGTTCACAGGACCAAACATACATAAGGAACAGGTTTGAAGGGGGAAGACAATGAGTTCAGTTTGAGGCTTGCTGAATTTAAAGATTTCAGGACTGAAGAAAAAGATCATCTAGTTCAAAGGTTTAAGTCTATAGAAATGGGAACTAAGTCACATATCCAGGCTAAATATAGACCCAGGGTTAAAACTCAAGGTCTCAACCCCTAGTTTATGGTTCTTCCTACTGCAGGAAGAGAGCTTCTCTGAAACCATGAGGTGTCCTTCTGAGAGGATTTGGTAATGCTTTTGCATCTGAGACTAACTTCAGTTTATTCAGCCCTTCTCAAGTCTAAACATAGCTTCTCCTGGCCTGTTGATTTAATGGTTTTTCATGATTTGAAATGCTGTTTGGGAAATTATGATCCTATATCAATTCTCTAAGTAAAGCACAATTTGCTCATTTAACCTTCTTATAGTCTGGAAGGCAGATTCGTGGAGACAATGTACAATGCTTTTTGGGACCATCTAAAGGAACAACTATTGAGTACTCCTCCCAACTTCACTTGTGCTCTTGAACTTCTAAGAGAAGTTAAGGAGGTGAGTAAACAACCTTCTATTTGTGGATGGGAGGTTCCTGGACATTTCAGACCCTTGGATTGTCAATGGCTACTAATAGCCTAAGTAGCATACTTTTTGAGCATGGTCCATTGCTTAAATAGATAGTATGGAGAAGCTTCTATTTTATTTGTATGAAATGAAGCTTGACAGTTGGGATATTGCTATAACACCACAATATATCATTGAATTAAACAAATATTCACTGAACCCCCATTATGGTTTATGTGTTTCAGAAGCACAGAGATTGAATAAGAGAGCCATTACCCACAAGGAACTTATACTTTTGAGTCAAAAGGCTACTTCAAGTGACCCTTAAAAGTTCCTTTACTTATTTCACTTTTGCCCTTTGGAATAAAACAATCTAAAAATATCTTTATCCTTTATTAAGAATGCCCCATCACCTTGTGGTGGTGTGTATTTTATGTTTCTTATATCCTGCACTTCTTTTTATCACACTCTTGTTTTATTCATATCTTTATCTCATTCTACCTAGAAAATAATAATGACCACTACTATAACTGATCCCAATGCAGCCTTGAACTGTGATTGTCCCCTAAACAGAGAAAAATAATACTCCCTAAGAAACCTAGAGACATAGTTTTATGACCCCCAGAAGGCATAGTCTGGGATGCTTTTGGCCTAAGAGGGTTGTTCACTGAAGAAAGTTCGGGGTTTGAAACAGAATTGGGCTCCTTTGATTTCCTTTTTGGGACAGATATTGCTATCACTGCTATTACCACGCCAGAACCGCCTAAAAAATGAGATTGAAGAAGCTCTGGACATGGATCTCCTCAAGCAAGAAGCAGAACATGGGGCCCTGGATGTCCCTCATCTCTCTAACTACATTCTTAATTTGATGACCCTGCTATGTGCCCCAGTTCGAGATGAAGCAGTGAAGAAACTAGAGAGCATAAAAGATCCAGTGCAATTACTGAGGTGAGAGTCTAGACATGCTGTCCCCAAAATCTGGCTCAGATGCCATGCCAAAAAACTCTGAGGCAGATACTGTGAGATAGCCCCTGTCTTGTCTAGCTTCTTCTGTACTGAAGACCTAACACCTCTTTTCTCCTTTCTGGATGTGTTACTCCATTTGAGTTGCTATAAAGAAAATACTGGAGGCTGGGTAATTTTTTTATTTGGCTCATGGTTCTGCGGACTGTGCAAGAGGAATGGCACTGGCATCTGCTTCTGGTGAGGGCTTTAGGGAGCTTCCAATCAAAGCAGAAGGCGAAGGAGAAGCAGGCATGTAACATGCCGAGAGATGGAGTAAGAGAGAGGGATGAGGTGGTGCCAGGCTCCTTTAAACAATTAGCTCTCATGTGAACTAATAGGGTGAGAACTCGCTCGTTATTGCGGGGAGGACACCAAGCCATTCATGAGGGATCTTCCCTCCATGACCCAAACATCTCCCACAGGCCCCACCTCCAACACTGGGGATCAAATTTCAACATGAGATTTGGAGGGGCCAAACAACCACACCATATCACTAGACTACTGTTTTTTATTTCCCAAGGACAGTCTCTCAGAGTTCCTTTGATGATCTTCAGATCATTTGAGCCCCTCTTATGACATGATACTGTTAAGACATTAATGTACAGTAATTCTTTCTTCTACAAATTTCAATCAGCCCTTTCCCAGATTGTTTCCTGTTTGTTATGACTCAAACCTTATGAGGGGGCAGGAATGGAGGATTACCCTTGTTTCACAGCCTGGAGAACCAAGACCCAAAAAAGTAAAATGATTTGTTCAATGAGTTAAGTTCAATCACCCACATTCCAACTACCCACAGACAGTTGTTAGCACTTTGGTGATTTTCCTTCCACTGACTACCCTTTTTCCAGGTGACAGAATGACTACAGTGAAAAGAGCTCTAGATTGGTAGTGAAAAGGTCAAGAGATGTATTTGTCCTTAGCTCTGCCACCAACTCATTATGTGACCTTGGATCACTGGTCACAGCATTTTTATTTGTAAGTTGAAGTAGGACTGTTGTTTTAAAGGCCCCTTCTAACTCTAAAATACTGTAATTTTATGACTTATTTCTTGGATTCCACCCCTCCACACTAGATTTCCTTTCATAGTATAAATATTATATTTCTCCCTGTGACAGGGGCATCTTCCATGTTCTGGGCCTAATGAAAATGGACATGGTGAACTATACCATCCAGAGCCTTCGACCCTACCTGCAGGAACATTCCACTCAGTATGAAAGAGCTAAATTCCAGGAACTCCTTGACAAGCAGCCCAGTATGTTTAACATTTAAGGGCAGGAGAGGGTAGATTTGACCTTGGGTCTGCCGTCTTACAGTGGTAGAGAATATTTTCTATTTTTTGAATAGGAAATTTCTTCCTTGGGCAAGAAGGAGGGGATAGGGAGAAGGAGCATTTTCTAAAACGTAAAGACCTACAAAATCACTTCTTTATTGACCAAGAGTGCATCTTCAAACCCTGGAGTCTGAAGATATATATTCCCTTTGCTGTCATAGATCTCCTCGATCACACCACAAAATGGTTAACAAAAGCAGCTGAAGATCTCATTACACCATATCTGAGTTCTCCTGACTTGCTAAGCTCCTCCTCCAGCATGGCCTGTTCCTTTCCAAATGGGGAAGCTAACGACTCAGATCTCCCCAGTCCCACAATGGTGCTATACCAGGGCTACCTGAATCTCCTCCTCTGGGACCCTGAAAATGAAGAATTCCCTGAGGTAAGAAAGTGTGTTGGGGCATTGCCTTGTTGTTTTGGATTCAGTGCCTCCATTAGAACCCTCCTTTTGTGACAGCCTGTTCTTCCTTGCCTCACCAGACTCTGCTGATGGACCGAATACGGCTCCAGGAAATGGGGTCCCATTTGCACCAGTTGACCATCCTGGCCTCAGTCTTGGTAGTGGCTAGAAGTTTCTCTGGTAAGGTTTTATTCAGCTCACCTGAATTTGTGGATAAACTGAAATGCATAACCAAGGCCCTGACTGAGGAATTTAACTCCAGGTAAGATTTATAGATATTTCTTAGAGTGAAAAATATGTGGTTTTTGGGACAGAGGCAAATAATATATTATTGCTTATTCTTCATCACAAAACACACAAAGGACCTTGGGAATCATCTCCAAGGATTGTTAGTGTCTTTGATAAGTTGTATTCAGGCTTGGGATAGGGAAAAATAAAGCTTATTTCCAAATAAGAGTGAGAGTGTGGAGCCTAGTTTGCTATAAATATCCATTATTGTATTTGCCAAAAATGAGTAATTATATACATGATTAGGTGACAGTAGATTTGTGTTATGTATATCCAGAAGTTGATCAATTAGTAATATTGATCGATGATTCGCTGCATGAAGGGATACTATTCCAAAAGAGAAACAGGAATTAGAAGCCTAAGTCTCTTAGTATATTTGCAACTTAATTGGTAAAGTAGGGGAAAAAATCATGAAAAATATCTATCCCAAGAATGAAAAGACAAGCACCACATGTACTCACCATCAAATTGGTATTAATTGATCAACACATAAGTGCACATATAAGAATAACATCTATTGGATGTTGGGCAGGGGGGAGGGGGGAGGGGGGAGGGGGGAGGAGGGTGGAGGGGACGGGTATATGCATACACAAAGAGTGCAATGCGCACCACCCGAAGGATGGACATATTTGAAACTCAGACTTAGGTGGGGAGGGGGGGCCCAAGGGCAGCATACGTAACCTAAACATCTGTACCCCCATAATACGCTGAAATAAAAAAAAACAATATTTAAATAAAGTTTATGGGGCTGAAGAATGCTGAGTGGATCCAAGGATGGAACTGAACCCTTGCCCAATTTATCTTGTTTTCTTTGAAGTAGCATATGGTACTATACATATAGATTAGTTGGTATTATACTTGAGGGTAACAATGAAAGTATTTAATCTGCCCAGTTGCTTCTGCTGTCTAGGAGGGGTGGAATTCTCCCTTGAATGGTCCTGGCTTCTGGTATGGGGCTTTCTGGGTTTTGCCCCTGTGCCAGGGCCACTCTGATTTCTGTTCTTCATTATCTAGGCCTGAAGACGCTATGCTGAGTGTGAGTGAACAGGTGTCTCAGGAAATCCATCATGGCCTCAAGGACATGGGCCTCACTGCTCTAAGCAGTGAAAACACAACATCTCTTATGGGCCAACTCCAGAACATCACCAAGAAAGAGAACTGTGTTCGTAGCATCATTGGTAAGAGTCCCTGTGGTAGTGGTGCAGAAGAGTGGAAAGAATGTTCAGGGTGGGCAGATAAACTCTATCCTGGAAATGAGTTACCTAAACATTTAAAAGTGGAAAAGCGTGATCATTCAGAAAGTCTTTTAGCTTTAGTTTCCTTATCTGTAATGTGCAGGGTTGAAATAGATATCTTTCAGTTTGAAGAGTGAATGTATGGTTTTAAGGTGTATCTGCATCTAAGATATGTAACTCCCAGTTGTGGGATACTGTCCCATTAACCCTACCAAGTCATCCCTGGTCATTCTCTAACTGTCGTTCAAGATCTGTGGAGAAACCCTTTTTCTATCCCATGCTTTAAGCTGCCGTGTGAAAGTCTACTCCCCTCCATGGAATTGATGCTGAGTTAGGCTGGAGGATATGTTCCATGCTGGAATAGAAGCAGTGAACTTGGCCAGCTTGCTTTTAACTTTAGCATCTTATCATAGTCTGGTTTGAGTGTATGGACCTGAACTTGGTGCACTCGCTGCAATAGAATTTGAGGTGCAGGGTCTAGGATCCTCTTGTTAGGTTAGTTGAGTTTGTTGGCATTCCCTCCTCCGGAAAAAAAAAAAAAAACAGACAAAAACCTCATTTATTCCGTTTACTCAAATGAATGGGTAGGTCAGTGAATAACTCAGGTAACTTAAAACCTTGGTGAGCAGATAGTGCAAGGGCATTGTGAATTTCTTCTGAAACCTCTTTGTTCCCCTTTTCATTGTTTTTTCCTGCTCACAGATCAGCAGATCCGTTTGTTTCTCAAGTGCTGTTTGGTTCGTGGCATGCAGCACTCTCTGCTACACTTCCCTGGAAGCCTTATTCTCATCGAAGGAGAGTTGGTAGAATTGGGCTGGAAGTTTTTCAATCTGATGCGTCACAATCAGCAGGTATTTAGCCCATACTATGCTGAGATCCTAAAAAATATCATTCCTCCAGCTCAAGCACGAGAAACAGAAGTCAAGCCTAGCTGGTAGTGCTGGACCCCTGCCATGGCAACAGTGACCTAGGAGAGAGGGCTCAGCATGTTCCTGGGATGAGATCACCTGTGGCCAGCAGAGCGGCCAGCCGTCTTCCTCCCTACAGCCAGGATACAGGGTTGCAGGGGTCAAGCATGTAAACACCAACTGGCCCAACCCCCTTCATTAATAAACTTCTAAGCTGCAAGAAAACCTAGTTCCTTCTGTGCTGCTGCTGAAGCCAGGTTCTGCATCTTCATCCCCTAACTAGCTGAGAATCAAGTGGGCCCTCGTTTTCCCTTCACTGGCTGATCATTCTTTAATATGCTGGCTTGAACAAGTATTAGGGTATCAGGTACTAGCATTATTTTCTCCAGTTCTCTGGTGAAAAATCATTTCCTTGAGGGCTATGAAAACTCTTAGGGGGATTATCCAGAGTGTGGGTATAGGGGCTTCTTGAGGTTAGAAATTCACAGAATCACAGATCAGGAGAAGACATAGAACCCCATTTCCAGTACCAAATTTCCCTATAATTTTAAAGGATATAGTAATAGTAAGACTCCCTGCCTCTTGTTCTGGTGTGTGGTTTGAAGCAGTAGGAAAACTTGGGACTGGTTAGAAGTTAATATTGTCTGCTAAGAAGCATTCAGCTGAGGACAGGTCTCAGCCTCCATGGAATTTCTCTTTCAAGTGATTGTAGGGGTCAGATTTGGAGTCTCTAATAATGACACCAAACCCAAGCAATTAGGTCCATGAGTGACTTGTATCAAGTTCATCCCTGGTGCTGTTCTGTAGCTGAATGAATCTTCTATTTTCACATCTCTCGAGGCTTAGAACACTGCATTCTTCTAGGGGTGAAGTTGGCATGGTATTCAAGGGTGGGACAGCCACCATGCTTTGTCCCACTTCTACTGTGGGCCTCTAACTGCCAGGTCATGATTATCAGCTCAGTTGGCATAACAAATGACAAATGTTCTAGGTCCACAAGGACCTCTGCTTGTTTTTAGAGATTATGTAGAGGTTCATCCCATCATTCTCAGGCCAACTTCAGCAGACAAACAGAAGTCTAGGGAATTAGGAAAAAAACTAGATTTTGATTTGGACTTGTTTATGATGGACAGGGGAAAATAGAAATTCACTTATGAGATATCCTAACTGGATGAAAAAAAGGTCTTCACCATTTTGGGAGACAGAAAGAGCTGTGTATAGTTTACTTAGCCCAAGAAAAATAACAAATAGGATTTGAGTTCTGTTATTCCCAGGGTAACCTAATTGATTTCCTTAGAGGGTGGATTCCAGATGAGTGACACAGCTAGGTGAACAGAGTGATACTTTTACTTTGGCTGGAAGTGGGGCACAGAGAAAAGCTGGAGAATGGGTCATTCAATTGTTCTAATCTTATGAATAGATAGGCTCAGGAAAGAGACTGTGGCAGGTGAAAGTTGTGTATTTAATAAATAGGCAGTAAACCTTGCCTAATTGTATTTTCTGATCAGATTTGCCAATATTTTTAATGCATTTTTGACTTACAATATTGCCAATTTATGATGAGCTTATTGGGATGCAATACCATCGTAAGTTGAGGAACGCCTGTATTCCATAATTAGTGGTGATTGCACAATATCGTGAGTATATTAAATATCAATGTATTGTGCATTTTGAAATATGGTGAATTTTATGTTATGTGAATTTTATCTCAAGTGAATTATTTTATTTTTTTAAATTTATTTTTATTACAGCATATTATGGGAGTACAAATGTTTAGGTTACGTATGTTGCCCTTGACCTCCCTACCCTTCAAGTCAGAGCTTCAAGCATGTCCATCCCCTGGATGGTGCGCATCACACTCATCGTATATGTATATACCTATCTCCTCCTCCTCCCTCCCATCTGCCCGACGCCCAATAAATGTTATTACTATATGTGCACTTAGGTGTTGATCAGTGAAACCAATTTACTGGTGAGTACATGTGGTGCTTATTTTTCCATTCTTGGGATACTTCACTTAGTAGAATGGGTTCCAGCTCTATCCAGGAAAATACAAGAGGTGCTATACCACCATTGTTTCTTATAGCTGAATAGTACTCTATGGTATACGTATACCACATTTTATTAATCCACTCATGTATTGATGGGCACTTGGGTTGTTTCCACATCTTTGCAATTGTGAATTGTGCCGCTGTAAACATTCGCGTGCAGATGTCTTTTATAGAATGTCTTTTGTTCTTTTGGGTAGATGCCCAGTAGTGGGATTGCTGGATCAAATGGTAGATCTACTTGTATCTCTTTAAGGTATCTCCATATTGCTTTCCAGAGAGGTTGCACTAGATTTGCCAATATTAATACAAGTTTTGAAAAGCTTAATTTTGGAAGCCGGATTATCTTAGAGGCAAATGTACTCTGAAGAGATCCCTGTGGAGATGACTGAGTAGTTGGATACAGACATTAGGCTGAAATGAAACTTTGCTTCATACTTTATAATTAAAATATGACATGCTTGATTTCTTAGGGATTTTGTGTTGGTTATGCTGTGCTTCCACATGGAGGAGATAGAAATCCTGATCCTAAATTAGGAAAGATAGCTCCATTTAATTCTGCTCACCCTTTAGAGATGGATGGATGAATGAATGGATAGATGGATGGATAGATAAATAGAACATGCACATAGTTAAAAATGACGTACAGTGAAAAGTCATGTTTCTTTCCCACCCCAGGTATCATTTCCCCTACCGAGATGAAACTATTAACAGGTTTTTGTGTATACTTCTAGAGATATTCTGTGTATGTACATGTTATATTATAACTAATATTTATGAGTGCATATGTGCCAGGTACTCCTTTAAGCTCTCTACCTATATCATTTCATTTATTCCTCAATAGTTGATTTCTAATCTATGTTTCCAATTTTAGAGCAGTGTAGCACAAAAGCTGTAATTGGGAGTAAGAACCTGTGTTTTATTTATTTTGTCTTCTCTGGCTGAGTGGACTTTTTCTTCATGGATAGAGGGGCAGCCATCTGCAAGCATAGATGAGAAGCCTCAGAAGAAACCAAACCTACCAATACCTTGAACTTTGACTTCTGGCCTCTGGAACTGTGATAAAATTAATTTCTGTTGTTTAAGCCATTCAGCCTGTGGTATTTTGTTATGGCAGCCTGAGCAAACTAATATACCACTTAATACATAGGAATTGGACTGAGATAAGGCTTTATTCATACACCAAACAATTGTTAGGTGCCAATGAAATGCCAGCAGAGTGCTGGAGATGATATTCTGCAGATCTTATGCCCAACAATGACAGTCTCCTGGGGGGCAAGGAGGGTCCTGGAATTCCCTGGCTACTAGTCTCCCTCAAGGCATCACTCTATCACCTCCCTTCCCAACCTCTAGAAAGTGCGCCTCTTACTATGTCATCACTTCCTTTCTTCAGTGAAGATTAGGGTGCTAAGAACAGCCAGATACCACTTGTCTCTGCTTTAATTCTAGTGGAGGTGAAGGACAATGACTAACCTTGCCCGCTCTAGGTTTGAGGTTCCTGCCCTTGCATATGGTGATTGAGGGGGTAAAAGGTTCGCATCCAACCACTGGCATTCTCTAGCATAGGGATTGCAGGAGGATGAGATCACAAGGGGCAGTGCCTGGAGTGAAATTCTGAAATCATTAAAGAAACAATGCCATTAAAATCCTGTGAACAGTCAAATAGGGCTAATGGGACCTATATTTAGGAAGATGAAGTAGCAGCTATGCACTGGGGCTGAGGATGGGGGCTATAGGCAGGGACCCCAGGGGTAAGAGGATCAGTTCAGACACAAGTTCTGGGACAAAGTGTTGGGAGTGGAGATTGATGCACAGGAGGCAGAGGTGCTATAAAGGAAGGCACACAAGTTAGATGGACATGAGGGATGGAAAAGGGCATCATCAAGGCCACTCCCCATGGAGCTCTTGAAGCCATTTCCGAGTTCCTTCCCCACAGAAGCTCCTGAGCTCTGAGGAAGGACAGGGAGGGGACTTCCACCCGCCCCTACCAGTAACCCTCTTAAGAAGGGTACCTCACTGGAGGTGTCCATGAACTTGATGCCTTCATACATGATGGGCAGGAAGGGAAGCGACATATGGGAAATAATGCATCTCCTGAGAGTTAAGCCCTTGTGAATTCCCCAGTCCTGGCCTCCCTGCCTCCCTATCACTAAGCAGAGTGTGCCAGGGCCCAGGGAAATGAACAGAGCAGCTTTGGCGGGACCCTCCTGGCTGTGGCTGCCATTTACTGCCTTCCATCCTAATCAGCCCTTCCACCCCACAGTACACCGTACCACAGACAATCTCCCCACACCTTGGGACAGGCATCTACAGTGGACTCTGTCCCTCATAAATTTTTGATCAGCATGGAGCCCAGATACTGTGGGAGCAAGGAGTTATAGGGCTTAGGAAACCCTGCATTGCCACCCCCAGGTGGCCAACCAATTCAGGACCACAGTGTTCTCTAGCCAAAAGATCATCAAGAACATATCTGTAGCCAAACAATGTTGAGCCTTTTACTCATTGCAGTGAGGGAGAATGTAAACCAAGGAGACCCATGGGGTGTCCCTATAAGAATTTGATAGGGATGACTTATTTTAGGATTTAGGCCTGTGTTAAGTGATTTTTGTGGAGGATTTTAGAAAGTGAAGATTTGCTCTGGATTGGATGCTTAGAAAATGGGGATAATTCTAGAAAAACAAATAGAAATGACAGTGTGCAACTTTAGAAACTGGCTCATAAAAGTCACCATGGCTTCTCCCTCTCCCCTACATCCCCTGTTCCCCTCCTTTTCTTTTTCTCTCTCATATCACTTGTTCTGGGGAAAGCTAGCTGCCATGTTGAGGGGACACTCAAGAAGCTTTTGGAGAGGCCTACAATTTATACTTCCATTAACTAAAGAAGTGTCTACAGCAGCAATCATCTTCACTTTTCAGAATTAATTATCACCTGCATCTTCAGGCGGAAAATCCAATGGCTCACTCTTTCCAGAATTCAAAGTAGAGCACTCAGAAATGTTAACAGGTTTAACAAACTTCATCATCTAAAATGTCAGGCCCTGACATCACTAGTCTGTCTAACTTCCCAACCCATTCTTCTGTCATGAGCCCCAAACTCCTATTTACAGCTCCATGTGGAACAAAGTGAGTGTTTGCTAGTATCCACTACTCTGTGCAAGCTGCTACGATCTGTGA